AGCGGAGTCGCTTTTCTGTGTCGCTGCCCCTCCGAAATCCAGCCAGCGTCTGAAGCAAAATGCTAAACCATCCTGCATATGAAATGGCGAGCATAAAGATTGCTGATACACCGGAGATGCCAAACGCTATGGCCCCTAATCAGCGAAAGTGGCATAAATGACTGTCCTTATTAGATGAACTAAACACCAAAAATAAAACGTGTGGAGTCGCTTTTCTGTGTCGCTGCCCCTCCGAAATCCAGCCAGCGTCTGAAGCAAAATGCTAAACCATCCTGCATATGAAATGGCGAGCATAAAGATTGCTGATACACCGGAGATGCCAAACGCTATGGCCCCTAATCAGCGAAAGTGGCATAAATGACTGTCCTTATTAGATGAACTAAACACCAAAAATAAAACGTGTGTTTAGTACTAATTTTCCTGGGTGTTCCAGGGATTTTTTATTCTTGGTATGTGATTTCAAACTGTAACAAGTTTCTTATAAGAGGCTCCGTAATAAAATGGAAAAAATCTCAAATGATGGTGTTTTCCTACCTTCTGTAGTGAATGTGAAAGTAATCATTAAAGTGTTTTGTAAACTAGTTCAATGTTTCTACCACATTAGGGATTAAGTGATAGTGGAGCAAAGTTTTCACTGTAAAGTTCACAGGTTCAACCAACTTATTTTTGACTAATATTTGTTGGTGTAACCCAGAGTGTGAAGACATCTTTACCTTTATAAATGTGTTTTGGGATGAGGGCTGCATTCTATGGCTGTGTCTACATTGGCAAGATTTTGCGCAAAAGCAGCTGCTGTTGCACAAAAACTTGCCACCTGTCTACACTGGCCACGAGTATTTGCGCAAGAACACGGATGTTCTAATGTACGAAATCATTGCTGCTTGCGCACATACTATGACGTTCCCGCTCAGGGATAAACCCTCTTGCGCAACTGTTCCTGTGCAAGAGGCCAGTGTAGACAGGCAACGTTAATTTCTTGCACAAGAAAGCCCAATGGCTAAAATGGCCATTGGACCTCTCTTGCGCAAATTCTTTACCGCAAAAACTCTTGCGTTAAAAGTATTTGCGCAAAATCATTAACATTAATCATGCCTATTAGTTTAACTCATAGTGTTAGTGCAGTAAAACTTTTGTGCATGGACAAGGCCTGAGCAGTAATAAACTAGGGATGTGATCAGTTAACCATTGTTCTTGGGTGGGGCTGGGAATGAGGGTTTCCCATGCTGCCCCAGGGAA